GGTTCCCTCTCATACACCCCTGCCCCTACAGTCTGACCTCTTGACATGTCTCTATAGTCTTAGCAGGGAATTAAGTGCTACAGCTGAAGAACTGATAAACTCTCCTTTTGACAACTTGATGTTTTATTCCCCTTGAACCAGAAGGTTCAGTTGTTCAAGTTTGGATCTCTTGATTTCAGTGTTGAGTCTGTGATTTTGTGTATTTGACTCGATCATTCCTCAACACCATCTTTGTACCTGTATCCTCTCACCTAGCCCGCATTGCGTCTCACCTGTCCCTCAGCCTCTCACCTCCACATGAATACAGTTTAGCTAATATGCTTAATATTTTTATGTTATTCTTTTTTGTTGTGGGGTGGGCACACGCAACAGTGCTCAGAGCTTGCTCCTGGATCTGCACTCAAAGACCACTCCTGGCAAAGCTTAAGAGACTATATGTAGTGCCAGGGATCAAATCTGGATCAACTGGGTACAAAGCAAGAGCCCTACCCACTATACCTCTGGCCCCCAAGGTTAACTTTACTTAAGGTTCAGCTACCTGATTTGGGAATGTTAGCTCAAAAAATCATCTATATTATTTATGTTGTTTCTTATATGCTATAAACATTCTAAATTTAAATGATCTGATGGTTGAAGGTTTTTAAAAATTTTTTTTAATTTTTCTATTGAATCACCATGACACAGAGCATTACAAAGCTGTTCATGATTACAGTTCAGTCACAATGTTCCAACATCTGTGCCTCCACCAGCATTATTTCCCAGCACCAGTGTCCCCAGTTTTCCTTCCACCCCTTCAAGCTGCCCCCGCCACACTCCCATCTGCCTCTATGGCAGGTACCTCTCTCTCTATCTCTCTCTCTCTCTCTCTCTCTCTTTCTCTTTCTCATTTTAAGCATTACGGTTTGTGATACAGATGCTTAAAGGTTATCGTGTATATCCCTTTACCTACTTTCAACATTCAGTTCTTATTTAGAGTGATCGTTTCCAACTAGCATTGTCATACTGGACCCTTCTCTATCTTTTTTTTTTTATTAGCGAAACACCATGAGGTACAGTTGTAGATTTACAATTTTTTGTGCTTGGGTTTGATTATACAATGATCAGATACCCATCCCTCCACCAGTGCCCGTTTTCCACCACCATGGATAATATCCTCCCCACCCCCATCCCCCCATCCCCCCCTGCCTCTGTGGCAAGGCAATCCCCTGTGTTCTCTCTCTCCTTTTGGGTGTTGTGGTCTGCAAAAGAGGCATTGAGTGGCAAACATGTTCAGTCCATAGTCTACTTTCGACAAGCATCTCCCCTCCTGGGAGGATCCTCCAAACACCTTTTATTTGGTGCTCCCTTCTCTATCTGAACTGCCCTTTCCTCTAGGATACCCGGCTGGCCTGACCCTTCTCTATCTTAACTACCCTTAGTCTCCCATACCAATGACCAACTATTGACCAGTCCACCTGGCCCGTTTTCCCTGGCCTTGGATATTAGTTTCATATTTGTGTTTTTTTAAAAAATATATATATACTCCATGAATAAATGCAGTCATTCTATATCTGCCCCTCTCCTTCTGACTCATTTCACTCAGCATGATACCTCCAGGTCCATTCATTTTGAGGCAAATTTTATGACCTCAATTTTTCCTAACAGCTGTGTAATATTCCATTGTGTAGATTTTTCTTTATTTATTCGTCTGTTCTCCGACATTCAGGTTGTTTCCAGATTCTGGCTATTAAACAATGCTGCAATGAACCTAGAAGTGCAGATGGTGTTTCTGCTGTGTGTTTTTGGACCCCCAAGGTATATTCTGATGGCTACAGTTTTAGAAATAATTTGTATCCACATTACTACCAACCACTACTGCCATAATTTAGTGCTTTCCAAACTGATTGATGAAACAAACTGTTAGAGAAAATGTAAGACAATCAATCCTAGAGATTCCTATGACCATTTTGGCAACTATAGATAAAACTATTGGCACACATATCCAAATAACTTTTGTCTTATGTTGTCTTAGGGCTGGAGCGATAGCACAGCAGTAGGGTGTTCGCCTTGCATTCAGCCAGCATAGCCGATTCAAGTTCGATTCCTCCACCCCTCTCGGAGAGCCCGGCAAGCTACTGAGAGTATCTCGCCCGTACGGCAGAGCCTGGCAAGATCCCCGTGATGTATTCGATATGCCAGACACAGTAACAACAAAGTCTTCAATGGAGACGTCACTGGGCCTGCTCGAGCAAATCGATGATCAACGGGAGGGTCTTATGTAAACAGTTGCAAATTGCCAACTTGTTCCACTATTACACTATATTCCGCTGTGTTCCACTATGTTACAGAAATTTAAAACACAAGAAAATAGGTTTTTAATTCCAAGAAAGCACTTTGTGTTACAAAACTCATTGTGTCCCAAGGCATTATTTGGGGGATAAACCAGAACTATCACTTATTAAACCACAGTTTTCCTATGAAAATGTTTAAAATCTTAGACTTTTTGTTATTATTGGGAAAATAAATACTAAAATAAATTGTTAAGGCTATTGTTATGATATATAACAATAAAAGAGAAACGATTTAGCTTAGATAGCTACTTGCTGAAATAGGTTATGCCCAAATAGGTTATCAATCTAGAACAGAGACAACATTATATCTAAGTCCTCTTAATTTGTCAATACCGAAATTCCAGCAGGAGCACACCGGATTAGATGGGAGAGCAAGATAGAAACCAACAAACTCAACAAACAAAAGCAGTAACACAGAAAACTCAACTAGTAACAAACAGCTTAGTAAATTCAGCTGCTTTAAAATAGAATAAATTTATGAAAACAAAGCAGTTCAAACTTAAAATGAAGCATCTGACTCCTAATAAAAATCATTTATACTCATCAAGGTTACAAAACTAAAGAGTTTACAATCCTTTTTCTTATTTTTTAACTGAATTGAATACATTAACAGAGAGCTACTCAATGAATGATCTCAACCATGATTATTCAGTGACAATAAAAAAAGTCAAACATCTAGTGGTATCAAATAGATTTTCATATGTAACTCTTATTTCAAATGTTTTAAATGTTTAAAATGTGGTTGTTGGCTGGAGGGTTATGCAAGGAAAGACAGTCAAGGAAAAAAGGTGTTTGCCTTGCACGAGGCCGACCCAGGTTTGATCAATGGCACCACATATGGTCTCCCGATACAGCCAGGAGTGATCCCTGAGCACAGTAGCATGTGGTCCAATGCCCGCCCCCCGTTTATGATTGTTGGCATCTAAAATAGAGAACTACTATATAGTTGGCTCTGTATCTAGAGGAATTCATAACTGCTAACATAGAATGATAAATGCCTAAGATTACAGCTACCCACTATACTGCCAATTGAAAATACTCTGCAGTGGTTGCTGCTCCTGTTGAAGTACTCACTGTTTTATTTTCAATTTTTCACTCTGTGTAATGAATTACTAATCCCACACTTCCCCTTTTGTCCCATTTTACTCATTTATGTATAAAACACACACTGTTGTACAAGAGCTCTTCAAAAAGTGGAGGAAAAGCAGTTACTATCTAAAATATAGCATGCATTTGAAATAAAGGAAGAGTGCTTAGTTCTTTCTCCACTTGAAGACACTAAACATTTTAACTTTATATTAATCTACCTTTGTCCTAGAACTTCATTTTTCAGTTAACGTATCATTGTATATTCTGTATTTCTCTTGATAAGTAGAATTAGGGCCCTATTCAAAGTCATCAGTTCAGAAACTATAGAGGTAATCTCTCAGGTGAATAAGATTTCTCATCTATGCTGCTTTCCTCCACAACTGTCAAAGGAAGTAATGGTGAGAATTAATAAGTATGTGGGTCTTATTATGCATATCTTTTATTTATTTTATTGTACTAACATTGTATTATGACATTAAATAACTTTCAAGTGTCACTGTCACTGTCACTGTTCTCCCGTTGTTCATCGATTTGCTTGAGCGGGCCCAGTAACTTCTCCATTGTGACACTTGTTACTGTGTTTGGCACATCGAATACATCACGGGTAGCTTGCCAGGCTTTGCCGTGAGGGTGAGATACTCTCGGTATCATTAAAAATCAAAATCTATATATTCTACATTAAGATCACTAAAAGTCCAATTCTATCCTTCTCCATACGATTAACCCCTTTTCCTGATTTTAACCACCCTCCCCCTTTCCTTCTTTCTTTCTGATAACACGAGTTCATCTTACAGTCTATAAGAATTTGTTTGTTTTATCTAGTGTATTTATTTGTGGCTTTTCTCATTCTATGTATGTCCCACGTATGAGTAATATACATAACTTTTGTCTTCATTCATTTGACTTATTTTACTAAGCGTAATACCCTCTAGGCCCACCCATGAAGTTGAAGAAGCTGTGTTTTAGTGAGCAGTATTGTGTCTCTATATACATATTTGTACACATACATCTTTTTAATCCATTCATTTATGGATGGGCACTTGGTTGCCTTCCAATTCTAGCCTATTATAAATAATGTTACCACAGACAGTGGGGTGCATGTGTCTTTTAGAATTAGAATTGTTGGTTTTGCATATTTGGGCAAATGCCCAGTAGTGGGATAACTGGATTGCATGGAATTTATGTTTTTAATTTTTTTGAAGATTCTTTTGAAGCTTTCTACACTGACTGTACCAATTTACAAGCCAGCCAACAGTGTACAAGTTCCCTTTCTCTCCATGAGTGTTTTTATCTTGTCAGTAATACTTTGAGGAGTCTTCCCAGGTGGTCTTCAGGAATTCCAGGGGCGAATTAGTGATGCGAAGCCAAGTAGCCAGATGATTCAACTCCATGGCCGGATGCAGTGATGCTTGGTCCAGCAGTGCTGGGGGATCACAAGGCCCCTGTCAGGTGATGCTCAGAGGTCTCCAGGCAGGTCTATACCCAGCAGTACCTGGTGCTGGGAATCAAACTTGGATCTCCACACACACAAGACATGTGTCTCTTCCCTCTGAGCTATCTCTCAGGCCCATTTCTTGGTTATTAAACAGCATCCACCTTTATTAAATTATTGTTGGTCATTAATGGGGAGGGTTTGCATTTAATTCTTTCTGCGACATCATTAGAACTACCTACAAAGACCGTCTTGGCGGTACACAGCGAGACTATAATTCTTCTGTATTCCTTCCTGAAATTCTGGTTCAGTAGACCATATATGATGGCATTGAGGCAGCTGTTGAAATACGCCATATAGTAGCTGGCCACAAATAGCCACTCTGGAATCCTGGACACTAGACTGGCAGGATCTGAAGCCACAGCAAGACCAATAATGTTTAATGGAGCCCAGCAAATGGCAAAAAGTACAAACACCACAAACATGGAGATAAAGTTCCTAAAGTCCTGGGGTTTCAGTTTGAGTTTGCTGTCACGTTTCACCCTCCATCTGACCTGAAGGAACAGGATCCAGATTCTTAAGTAACAGAAGATGACGATGATCATAGGAATGATGAAATGGAAGACCACCACAGCTATCGTGTATGCAGCGCTGACCGACTGAGTGAACGTACAGGAGTAGATCCTCGGGTCATACTGCAGGGACCCAATACTCAGGTTGGGCACAATGGCCACAAGTGTCAGTATCCATATCAGGATAATGTAGCAGACGGAGTTCTTGTTACTGTACAGCTTGTCATATTTGATACTGTGGCAGATATAACAGTAGCGGTTAATGGCAATTCCCGTGATATTGAATATGGAGCCCACGACGCTCAAGCCCATTAAGAAACCACTTATTTGGCAGTGCAGGTACCCCAGCGTCCATCCATTGTTAAATATAGATGCCAGCACCAAGGGGTAGGGGTAAACGGCCACCACCAGGTCTGCGACAGCCAGACTCACCACAAACAGGTTTCCTACAAGAGAAAGTTTTATTTAAAAACAAAAAGTTACTGTGAGTTGTGGAATTATTGTATGCTTTATTTTTCAGGTTCTTTACTTTAGAAAGGGGCTTTTTCTGCAACTCAGATGACTTGGCATTCTAGCCACTGCCGTAATGTAGGGAGTGGGGCCTGTTTTCATCAGAAATTGAGCTCTTTTCTTGCCCTATCAAATTATAGTGGTCAAACTTCCCCGACTGCCCAAGCAAGGCACCGCCCACGTTCAGATCAGTTGTTATCAAGCTGCTTGCTTTCTCTTTTACTTATTTATTTATTTTTAATTTTTATTAGTTGAACACCATGAGGTACAGTTGTAGACATACAAATTTTTGTGCCTGAGTTTGAGTTATACAATGATCCATTACCCATCCCTCCACCAGTGCCCATTCTCCACCCCCACTGATCCCAGTATCCCTCCCAACCCCCACCCCCATCCCACCCTGCATCTGTGGCAGGGCATTTCCTTTTGTTCTCTCTTTCCTTTTAGGTGCTGTGGTTTGCAAAAGAGGCATTGAGTGGCAATCATGTTCAGTCTATAGTCTACTTTCAACATGCATCTCCCATCCTGGAAGGATACTCACAACACCCTTTATTTGGTGCTCCCTTCTCTATCTGAGCTGCCTTTTCCCTTAGTTTGTGCAGCTGGCCTCCCAAAAACAAAAGCCCAGGTCCAGATGGATTCACTAGTGAATTTTTTCAAACATTTAAAGAGGACCTATTGCCAGTTCTTCTCAAGATTTTCCAGGAAATTGAAGAAACAGAAACTCTCCCAAACAGTTCCTATGAAGTCCATATCTCTCTAATACCAAAAGGAAACAAGACACCACAAGAAAAGAAAACTACAGGCTGATATCCCTGATGAACATGGATGCGAAGATTCTCAACAAAATATTAGAAAATAGAATTCAATAACTCGTCAAAAAGATCATACATCATGGCCAAGTTTAATAACACCAAACATCAGCTAAGCGGCACAAATGCTGGCCGACTTTGACCGTGAGTGTGGAAAGGTAGGACTACAGCTGAATCTTATGAAGACAATGTTTATGAGAAACAGCCTCGTTCCTGATGCCCCATTCGCTCTCAACGGAACGACCATCTTCAAATGCAACAGCTATGTGTACCTCGGTCGAGAAGTCAACATGACAAATGACCTGGCACCCGAGCTGCGCAGGAGGAAGAGAGCGGCTTGGAACACCTTCAAGAACGTCGAAGAAATAGCTAAGAGGATGAAGAACCTCCGGCTCCGGGCACATCTTTTTGGTTCCACTGTTCTTCCTGCATTAACATATGCCTCAGAGACCTGGGCCCTACGCAAACAGGATGAGAATGCTATTAAGGTCTCCCAATGAAGAATAGAAAGAGCTATGCTTGGAATATCACGTTTCACTCAAATGAGAGAAAAAATCCGGAATTCCGACATCCGTCAACGATCAAAAATCAGGGACACTGTCTCATTTGCCAAGGTGTCAAAAATCAGATGGGCTGGTCACGTAATGAGATTTAAAGACGACCGCTGGACTAGAGCTGTTACTGACTGGATTCCACGGGATGTCAAAAGGCCACGTGGCCGCCCACCTACCAGATGGTCAGACTTCTTCGTGAAGATCACGAACGATCAGTTTGAGGCTCTTCATGATCCTGGAGCGAACAGATGCCATTGGGCTACACTAGCACGCGACAGGGACAATTGGAGACGTTACTGGCGCCCGCTCGAGCAAATCGACGACTAACGGGAAGTTAAGTGATTAAGTAAATGATCATGGCCAAGTGGGATTCATCCCGGGGATATAAGGATGGTTTAACATTTGGAAATCGATCAACATCATCAAACATATCAACAAAAGAAAAGATAAAAACCATATGATCATATCAATAGATGCAGAAAAAGCACTTGACAAGATCCAGCACTCATTTATGATGAAATCCCTCACCAAAATGGGGATAGAGGGGACTTTCCTCAATATAGTTAAAGCCATCATCTACCACAAGCCTACACAAGCATCATTCTCAATGGGGAAAACCTGAGAGCTTTCTCTTTTGTTTTAGAAGTTCCTTCCAGGGACCAGAGGGATAGTACAGTGGGGAAGGCATTTGCCTTGACCCGGTTGACAGGGTTTTGATTCCCCGACATCTCATATGGTCCCCTGAGCACTTCCAGGAGTAATTCCTGAGTGCAGAGCCAGAAGTAAGCCCTGAGCATTGTCCTGTGTGACACAAAAAGCAAAAAAAAAAAAAAAGTTCCTTCTACATTAGCTGAAAATTTTCATGTTATGTCATTTCTTTTTATTTTATTTTGGGGGTCTTTGGGCCACACCCAATGGTGCTCAGGGCTACTCTTTGCTCTGTGCTTTAGGGGTCAAACGCAGGCCCTTTGCAGGCAAAGCGCACACTTGGCCCATTAAGTTCTTGCTCTCACTCAATGTTCATCCTGAAGCTAACCATCACTGCCCTAAACTCTAGACCTTTCACCCCTCACCTCCGAGCTCTTCAAGTGGATTAGAGAAAAGGGTTTTGGCATCAGCTATTTGTGTCAGAATACCGGTTTCACTACTACTCCATGTCTAATTTGATGATCTCACCAAAATTTCCTCTTCTCTAACATGGAAATAGCAATAGTATCTTTTTTTTTTTAATTGGGGTCTGTGTAAGGACTAAGTGAAGCAATCTTTGTGACATACATTTTCTATCACATAAGTACTATATGAATGGTATTTTGCCACTCTCCTACTTTAATCCATAGAAAAGGTAACATTTTAAAAATTTGTATAGCCTGACTGTCCTCACCAGGGCCCAACAGCTGAAGACCTCCGGGCCCCAGCCAAGGTCATGTTGGGACCAGTCTCCACACTTGGATGAGCCTCACGCATAAAAGAACTGGCAGAGAAACCCAGGTGTGTGGGACCCAGGGCTGAGATCTCCAAGCCTGCACGGTTTGGGACTGGACCTGCCAGTAGCTAGACAGTTACACCCACCAACTGCCATGTAACCCCAACAACAGCCAGGATCCAGAGATTATCACACCAAGCGGCCGTGCGACTTTTTATTTACATTCATTTAATTTTTCAGGGTACCTTAAATATCCCACCCACATGGCAGAGCCTGGCAAGCTATCCGTGGTCTATTTGATATGACAAATCCAGTAAAAAAAATGGATCTCATTTCCCTGACCCTGAATACGGCAGAGTCGAGAAGGATGTGGAAGGAGAGGTTGATAAAATCCCAAGGCAGAAATATGCTGCCAAAACAAAGGTAAAGGTAAAATGTAAAGGCCCCCCCAACATTCATCGATTTGCTCGAGCGGGCCCAGTAACGTCTCCATTAGAGATTTTGTTGTTACTGTGTTTGGCATGTCGAATACATCACGGGTGGCTTTCCAGGCTCTGCCGTGCAGGCGAGATACTCTCGGTAGCTTGCCGGGCTCTCCGAGAGGGGCGGAGGAATCGAACTCGGGTCGGCCATGTTGGCTGCGTGCAAGGCAAATGCCCTACCACTGTGCTATCACTCCAGCCCTGCCAAAATGAAGAAAGACAAAAATGATTGTCTGAACTTTTAATGTACGTACGCTGGCATCTGATGCATCCATCGAGGACCTGATGGTACAAGGCGAAAGATCAAGTATGACATCATTGGTCTGACCAAAATGAGAAAACAGCAATCACATCACGCCGTTTTCAACACTGGAGAAGAACTGTTCCTTGGAACATGTGACAAAAGAGGCGTCGGTGGTGTCGGTATCCTTGTCAACACAAACTTAGCCATGAGCATTGATTCATTTGAATGCTTAACAACCCAAATGGGATGATTACACTTGAATAGATGTGGCTCACTGCCAGCAGTTTCTATCTTTGTTGTCTATGCACCAACATCCAATTATGGTGAAAGAGAAATTGAGAAGTTCTACATGGAGCTGGAGAAGTTCTATAAAGAAGATCATACCTTCTACAAGATCATTGTTGGTGATTTTAATGCCAAGATAGGACCAAGAAGATCAGCCGATGAACTCCACATCGGGACCCATGGCCTAGAATGGAACGAACAGGGTGAAAGACTGTCTGAGTTCATCATGTCAACCAAGACCTTCCATGGTAACTCACAGTTCCAAAAGGCTGAATCTAAACATTGGACATGGGAGTCTCCTGGTGGACGGTTCCACAATGAAATAGATCACATCATATTCAATTGGCAGTTTTGCCTAATCGATGTTGCTGTTGTCCCAAAATTCCAAATGAGATCGGACCACCATCTCCTTCATGCAAAATTCTACCTCACAGAAAGAGGAGAAAAGAATGCAAAGTTTAAGAAGAGAAGTCCCAGAATGACCACCAACTGGGAGCTCTTTGGCTCTGTTGCGGTAACATGGGAAGATGCCATCATTGACAACATTGATGAGGAATACGATCGAATGATTCAGCACCTCCATGATTGTGCGAGGAATGCCAAGAGGGAGATAACCACAAAAAAACCGCCTTTCTTCAAACACTCTTGAACTTATTCGCCAACGTGGCTTGGCACATGCCTCAGGCAACTGCAAGCGAATGTCCAGCTGGCAAAACAATGCAGAGAAGCCATCAAGGATGACTTCAAAGACAGGAGAGCAGCGGTGCTGGTAGATGCGGCAGAAGCTGGGAAAAGCATTCGTAATGCCCGCCTGTCATTCACTAACTACAAAACCAAGATGACTGCCCTCCAAGATCCTGATGGATCTATCACATCTTCCAGAAGGGCAATGGAGAAGATTATTCATGACTTCTACTCAGATCTCTTTAATAGCCACGTCTACTTGCCCACATACCACATTCCGCACGATGGGTATGTCATTCCCAATGTTCTCCCTTCCGAAATCCAACATGCCATCTCGTCGGTAAAGAAACAAAGAGCACCTTGGCCAGACAAGATCAGACCTGAACACCTGAAGAACTTACCACCAGTACTCATCAATACACTGGCTCGACTCTTCACACGCTACCTGTCTG